AAAGGTGCAGTGGAGACTCCAGCAGTTTGGAGAAGCCAGGAACATGGATTGTCTGAGGAGAACTGCAAGGAGGGGGCAGAGCCAGCCACAGAGAGAAGCCATGGGAGCTACAACCACTGGCAGTGCCATAGGGGTGGAGTCACCACCCAAGCCCTTTGGAGTTCACAACTTGCTACAGGTTGCTGGGGATGCTGGAAGTGGAACTGTGGTACTTAATATTTGCCCTGGTGGGTTTGGTCTTGCTTTGGTCCCATTGCTTTGCATCCCCTTATGTGTACCTTTTGGAATGGTAATGTTTATCTTGTACCATTGTATGTTGGACGTGCTTAACTTTCTTTTCATTTGTAAGGAGCCTTGCAGTGAAAAGTTTGCCTTAAATCACAGAGGAGACTTTGGACTTGCACTTTTCAGCAACAGTGAAACTGTTAGGACTTTGGCAACTCTCAGAGATGGACTAAAAGCCATTTGCATTGCGAGATGTGGATGAGTATTTGGGGGACCAGGGGAAGAATGTTATGGCTTGTGTCTAGATGTCCCCCAAAGGCCTCGTGCAATTGAGGTGGGGCTTTTTCAGAGGTGGCTGGACCGAGAGTGTGTGATGCTGGAATTGACTCATGATGCAATGCTAGGCTCAAGGGCACTAGGATGAAGGGTGTGAGTGCTATCCTCCCTAAGTAGTCTGGATAAGATATAAGGGATAGAAGGAGTTCTGATTGGCCCTTTTTTGTTGCTTTTACTACCTTCTGGTCACCATGAACTGTTCCCCTCTGTAATGTCCCTCTGCCTTTTGCTTCTCTGCCCTGGAGCCAACCAACTATGGACTGAACCCTCTACAAACTGTGAGCTAAATAAACCCTTCCTCCCTTAACTTGTGGGTGTCGAGTATTTTGTCTCAGCAATGAGAAAAGTAACTAAGACACCTCCCCAGGCTGACAACCTGTTCTGGTCCAGTGCCTTCCTTGAGGTCTGTGTGCCTCTGGCCCAGCTGCTCTGTGGTCTCAGCTTCCATAGCTGCACCTCTTGTCTCAGGGTGGCCTGTTTGCTATGGTTGTGCACACCCTGCTGCCTCCTCATCTCCACAAGCAACACAGTCAGGCTGTGCCTTTGCAAGCTTTCCTGAAGACCTGAGGGAACAGAGGAGCCACATGGCTGACTGCAGAGCCCTCTACCATCAGGCTCCCCTCTACCTGCCTCCCATTTCATGGAGCTGTGAGGGGGTGGAGTTCAGCTCTGTCCTTCCCTACTCTGCAAGGCCCAGACCTGCCAAGTGCATCTACCTATCCATCACCCTTCCCTCCTTCCCTATTCTTGTCTCTCCATAGTTCTGGTAAATAATTGACATGGTGGCAATTCTAATGGTCTTTTGGGTCTCTCTCTCCACTAAGCAAGGGCTGAACTCCTTGAGGACAAGGCTGTGAGTCCATTGTCCCTAGCTTTCTATCACCTAAGCCAAGGCAGGGCACTGAGAAGGTGCTCAGTGAATGCAAAATTTAAAAGCCAGTTTCAACAAAAAGCTGCATTACAAAAAAAATCGGTGAGAATTTCTTTGGCTCTGCTGGAAGCACAGAGTGCGTGGGTGAGTGATGATTTCAGCAGAAATGCCACAGGACACATGGTTTCTCAATTATTTATGGGGCTAAGGAGACTGTTCTCAGAGTGCTGCAATATATTCTAAGGATGTCAGGGCAGAGTGTGAGTGACTTTGTTCCTTGGAGTTCCTGCAACCCCACTCTGCAGATAGCAGAGAGGGGGGATTTTTAGCTTCTTCGCGCAGCAATAAAGAACTGTCTGTTTTGGAGCTCAGTTCTGCTTCTGCCTAGTGAATGTTTCTGGCTGGCAAGGGTGTCAATTTCTGTTTCTCAGCTGGCCATGGTGTCAAGATGAGGTAGGATGGCCTCTGGAGACAGAAGGGTCTGGGTTCAAGTTTTTCTCTACTCTGTATCACTATGCACTCGCCTTTCTCTGGGTTGCCATTTTCTCCTGTGACAGAGGTCAGGGGACATTCTGGGAAGCAGGAGCCTATGTAGGCTCACAGCTTAACACTGGGTGCTGACAGGGTGGTATCCTCTGCTCTGCTCTGGTAAGGCTGGGTCCAGGCTCACCCTGTGGGGCTTTGAGCTCTTTGCATTTTTCATCAGGTACATAGTTGCCAGATGGTATTTAGAGAAGTTTTACAAAGGACTTTCTTGTCACTTGAACTGGTGGGCAGATGTTATGTGATTATCTGAAGGAGATTCATTCCTGTTTACGTAAGGAAGAGTTGGTGGGTTTCAGGCAAGGCTATTAGTGCTTTAATCCAGAGCAGAGACCAGGCCAATCCCAAGGACAGGAGTTGTGCTTGTGCCAGGACCAGAGGGCCTGCTGATCTTGGGGATGGTGGGCATTCTGGTTCTGGGGGAAGAGGGTATGCTGGCCTTAGAGACAGACAGATGTGCTGATCCTGTGAACAAATGATTTCTGGGCTTGGGGCCAGAGGGTGTAGTGCCCTATACATACAGTTTTTATAGTCCATCATCCTTGAACTTCTGTGTTTAGAGACCCCAGAAGAGGTCATAGATGGAAGCAGCCTCTGGGGCCTGGTCCCCATTGTCACTGGCCCTGATTTTTAGCACAGATTCCCACTTTGTTCACATAGTGACCATGGACACTGTGATCACAGCGCCATCCCAGTATATGGCAGTCCAAAGACACTTAACAAATGATTGTTGACGGAATTATGTGATGAGACATGGGGTGAGTTCGGTGGCAATTTTGTGTATGGTTGGCTAGAGGTCTGTTCCTTCTGAATACTGTTATCTTCCTTTGAGTGAGTGGGTCTCATACCATGGAATGTGTGGGGTGGTGGGGGACTGAGCACAATCATAGATGGGGAGCACCTAGCATATGATCAGCATGCTGTTCCTCCTGGTACTCAGCTACCTCTTTAAATTTTTAGAAGTTGTCATTTTCTTTCTTATCTTTTTGTCTTTACAGTTCTGTAGGATGTTTTCAAGGTTTTTCTTTAATTTACTGTAATAAGAATCCAACGTGAAGTCTACCTTCCTAAAATCTTAAGTGTCCAATACAGCATGGTTATCTGCAGGCACCATGTTGTACAGTAGATCTAATTAATCTGTAGGACTTTTTAAAATGATGCTGAGGGTTAAAGCCAGAGTCTCACACATGCTAGGCAAATGCTGTATCACTGAGCTACACCCCCACCCCAATTCCTCTTGCATAATTGAAATTTTATACCTGTTGATCAGCAACTCTTTCCTTCCCTCATCCCCAGCCCCTAGCAACCACCATTCTAGTCCTTGTTTCCATGACTTTGACTATTCTTCCTTATTCGTCCCTAAATGAATAATTTTCTCCTTAAGTACTGCCTTCTAGATAAGTAAAATGCTCTTATTTAATTTGATTGTTTTCCTGTTTGTTTAATTACTACTATTAAAATGTTAATTCTTTCCCTTTTTTTTTCTTGTAGCACATGTGATATTTTGGTTCCATTTTGAGGTTATTGTATTTGTCAAGTCTCTGCTGTTGTATCAGTAGTTGGGTTAAAAAACTGGCTTGAGGAAAAGAGGAATTTATTGAGTTTTCTAACTGAATATTCCAAGGGGTTGGCTTTAGCCAAAGGTGAGACTGCATCCAGAAGATAGAAGGATGGAGTCAGGATTGATGTCAGTTTCCCTACCCTGATGTCCTGTGTTGTCCTCACTCATGAGCACAGCAGATTCTGCTTCAATCCCCTCCTCTCAGTGGCTTCACTGAAGGGGACACCAAGAGTCCTGCGACACTGCTCCAAACCTGAAGCTGAGAAACTGGGACTCACAGATCAGCTCTGTGGGACTTCGTGCCTGGAGCTGAGATGGGGCCCATTTTCCCTCAAACCTCATGGGCTGAGAGGCAAGAACCAGGTCCCAGAATGGAATCAGCATGAAGCTCTGCTATCTAAAGCAGGGAAAACAGAAGGATTATTATTTTTATTTTAAGGGTGAATAACATTGTCTTAAGGGGAATGGGAAAGGCCCCAGCATCCAATATGAGCTCTGAAATGCTTTCTTCTTCCTCCTCCCATCCATAGGTAGCAAAGGGATGATAGGTTTTTTAGAAACCCTGAAGAGCTGGGGTGTTTGGCGTCGTATGTAACGGCCAATGCTGATGCCAAAGTGAGGTCACATCTCCCCGGCTCAGGGCTCTCTGTGGGCATAATTGTAGGTCCCTCTGGCAGGAAATGCTCTGACCTGGCTTCCCATAGCCTGGGAATCTCAGGGTAAATATCTGGTAGGAGAGGAGTGGACGGCTGGCCTGACCACGTCCCATGTGAAGCCCTCCTTCTGCCACCTCAGCCTGGGCTGTGCCCTGACAGCCCTAAAGGAGCTGATCTGAGCATGGCAGAAGTTCTCCCTCCTTATGCTTGGCTAACGTCATATGCTTACCCGGGGTGAGAGTAAGGGCTCTAGAGATTCCGGAACCTTGTTTTCTGCCTTCAGACCTGTGTGACCATGTTGAGACTTCCGCAGGGAACAGCTGGAATGTTTAGGGTAAGAGGGAGGGGCCTGTGGAAATGTGAGCAGGGGTAACAGGATGGGGAACCTGAGATATTGTCCCATTGCATAGCCAGTGAATGTTGAGGCTGAAGAGTGGGTTGGGGGAGCCATGTGGACAGGCTTTCCCGGAGGGATGCAGGAAAGGTTAAGTTTAGTAGGTAGACCTGGACACACTGTCCAATCAGAGAATGATTTGCCAGGCAGGTGACAAGTGCCCTGTCTCTGGAGGCTTTCAAATAGACACTTGTGACCATTGGGAAATGACACAGAAGGACTCAGGCACTGAGACCCTCAATGATACTTCTTGACTCCCTGTCTTGGGGATGTCTGATGAACCAAGGGGTGACTTTGGGCTTGCAGGGAAGATACAGGGTGAGAACCCCATGCTGACTTTTGGGGCCTTGTCAAGAATTGAGCACAACAACTTTTGGTACAAGGCCAATAATACTTTTCTCTTCCTGATCTCAGATGGCAGCTGTTAGCTCTCCTGCAGCTTAGCATCTGGTTCTGACAGATTAAGGAAGATCATGTTCCTGGGTCTGCTGGTGACTAGAGCTAAGGTGGGTGGCTCATTCTTTTGGAGGTGAAAGGAAAGGGAAGTTGAGGGGGGCTATGAGAAGGCACTCTGGGGGAGGTGGCACCCTGAGACATTGGGGTTTTAAGGCAGGGTCGGGCAAAGATGGGAGCATAAAAGATCAGAACCAGAGATGGCTCTGGTGGCATGGAGTACAGCATTGATGGCAGGCACGATGGCTTGGGAATAGTTTGAATGTCCTCCAAAGATTTATGTGCTGCAAGATTGGTCTCCAATGTGGTGGTACTGAGATGATAGAAACTTTAAGAGACAGGGCCTAATGGAAGGCACTTAGAGTATTGGAGGAGTTATCCTCAGCAAGAATTAATGTAGTTCTTAAGGAACTCCAGTTACCACATTTCCCCCCAAAATAAGACCTAACTGGAAAATAATCAACTTGGATCAAACTGGAGATCAAAATTTCTAGCCCCAATCAGCCTATCTTTGCCTCACCTGCCATTACAGAATAGCCACCAAGCAAGAGGATAGTGAGATATAATTTGCACAACATTGGCCATCACCATGGTAATGACCAGCTAGGACTTATTTTCCAGGTAAGTCTTATTTTTGGGGAAATTGTATTTTCTAAGACAGCAGGTTATAAAATCAGTGAGGCTGGCTCTTGAATCTTCTTCTTGTCATGTGATCTCTCCCTTTCACACATGCTTCCACCATGATACCATATACTATGTAGTGATGTAGCCAGAAGCCCTCACCAGAGCAAACAAATGCTGGCACCAACTTTTTGAACCTCCAGAATTGTGAGCTAAATAAACCTCTTTTCCTTATGAAGAACTCAGGCTTGGGTATTTTGTTATAGCAACAGAAAATGAAGCAATACAGATGGGGAAGACTGGGGAGGAGATAAAAAACATACAGCCTTTAAACCTGACACCAATGCCAGGGGCTGGATTCATCAACATTTACTTGGTTCCCACTGCTAGAAATGGGATTAAGCTGGCTTTCCATTTTCTTTTCTTTTTTTTTTTTTTTTTGGTACCAGGGATTGAACTCGGGTCCTTGTGCTTGCACAGCAGGAGGCGAAACCACTGAGCTAAATCCCCGGCCCTGGGTTTTCATTTTCTTTTGCTTCTCATAATTGAGAAGTCCAGAGTTGGCTGTAGGCATACCTAGTTGCAAAACTCTCATCATGATCTCCTTCCATTACTGGAGCCTGCTTTCACCTGTGTCATCTCAGAAGGGCTCTCCCAAAGATGGCTCCCACAGCAAATTCCTCCCTGAAAACACTGGAATAAGTTCCAAGGGAGGCTGGCTTGGGCAGTGCCCACCTCTGCATCAAGGATGGAAAGGCTCTGGTTGGCTTTAACTGGGTCATGGGCCAGCCAGGGTTAAGAATGTAGAGAACTGTTTCCATAAGGAAAATTGGGGTACAGTTATCAGAACAGGGAGAATGGATTTAGGGCAGGCAAAACAGATGTCCATGGCAGAGGCCTGATCCTGTGATGGGCTCCCTGCTTCTGGCTGCTGCTGCCTTTCCTTCCACTTCTGAGATCTGGGGCTCCCATCACTGGGTGCAGGCCATCTGCACAGATGCTCCTGTTCTTGTCTGAGTGCCCCCATGGTGGCTGCAGCACAAATGACCAGCTGCAGTAGGCTGAATAGTGGCCCCTGTAGATGCTCACATCCTAATCCCAGGAATGTGTGACTGTGCTGCCTTACATGGCAGAGGGGGTTCTACAGATGTGACTAAGGATTTCAAGATGAGGAGATGATCCCAGATTATCTGGTGGGCTCAATGTAATCACAAGCATCCTTGTAAGACATGTGCCACATAGTGACGTTTCAGTCAACAACAGACCGGAAGATGACAATGGAGCTGAATCATTCCATTGCCTTGTGACACTGTAGCTGTCCTAACATAGTAGTGCAAGTATTGCTCATGTGTCTGGAGATGCGGGTGTAAACAAGCCTACTGTACTGCCAGTCCTATAAAAATACAGCACACACAATTATGTACAGTATCTAATGCTTGATAAAAATAAAAACAACTGTATTACTGGTTTATGTATTTACTATAGTACCATTTTGTCATATTTTAGAGTATATTCTATCTACTTATAAAAAAGAAAACAATTATCAGGAAACAGTTTGCCTGCCTTGTCCCTCTATGAAATCACTTGTCCATGCAGTGTTCAGAAGGTATTTCCATCATTAAATGATGTATGACTATAAATAGGAATGCTAGAGTCTGGAGTGTGGTGTGTGACAAGAACAAAGGTCAGAGGGGTGCAGTCCATGAGTGGGGAGCAGGAGACAAGGATGTGGCAGACTCAAGAAGCTAAAGAAGGGCCGGGGATTTAGCTCAGTGATTTCGCCGCCTGCTGTGCAAGCGCGAGGACCCGAGCTCGATCCCCGGTACCAAAAACAGAAGCTAAAAAAGACAGGGGACTGCTAGTTATCCAGAGAGAATACAGCCCTGTCCACACCTTTATTTTAGCCCACTGACACTCATTTTGGACTTCTGACATCTGGAACTGTCAGATAATAAATCTGTGTTATTTTAAGTCATTAAGTTTGCTGTCAGTTGTTACAGCCCTAATAGGAAGGTACTATACCCCTTGGTACCTGGTATATCCCTTTCTGGATATTGTACTGGCCTATACCCTCCTCACTTAAAGATAGAACCATCTCCTAAGGACTCTCCACTGAAGGACTGCTCTCCACTAGGCCCACCACACCCTGCAGGCTGAGCCACACCCTAAGATCACCCACTGCTCAGGACTTGCCCTGTTTTCCTCCTCCATCCGGACAACACTTTGTACGCTCTCTTTTTTGCACATACTCCATCAGTTTGAATTACCTTGGGTCATAACTGAATATTTCTTTAGGTCCTCTGTTAGATTGGAGAGTCATTGAACAGAGCAGAAAGGCAAACACATGCTCAGAAGAATGGAGATTCATCTCTTATGACTGATTCCCAGCATAAGGCCTGCAGAGTAGATGTTAAGGAAACATTTTCTCAATGAATGGATGACAATAGATGTACCACTAAGTATGTGATATGAGTCAGAGAGAAACCTACCAAAGATTAACGATGGGCCATTGCCTTGATTGGTGGCTGTTACCTTAAATCTTTTTTTCTCTTCTTCCCGGGAGTTAGCTGTGGCCTGGGATGACTTTGGAGTTTTGGCCCATGGAATGTGGGTAGAAGTGATGGGCTTTCTTTTGGAGCTGAGGCTTCTGAAGGAGCAATGAGTCCATTCTTATTTTCTTCCTTTCTTACAGTTGACAGAGATGGAAACAAAGTCCTGTCATGAAGGGCAGGAGGCTACCAGTGGATAAAGCATGGCACCTGGATTATCATGAAGAGCACTTTCCCACTGATTATGATCACAGGGCTCACAAACCATTATGTAAAGAAAACTAAGTTCTGATGAGTTGAACCCTTATTCAGTTTCCATCTATTTATCTCAGTATCTTCCATTACTGCAGTTAATAAAGATATTGGTAACTCGAGGCGAGGATGTTGTCATAACAACAAATCTAAACTAAGTAGGATGGGTTCAGGGATTGGACAATGGGAGGAGATGACATAGAGATCTCAGGTAGGTAGAGAAGTTGGGGACTTCTGTTATGCAAGCAAGAACAGTCCAGTCTGCGAGCAGAAATGAAAAGACATCCTCAGAAGTGTGGGGCTATTTGGGGATTGGTTGGGCTTTCTAGATTTGGACTATTACATGGGCAATTAAGAAACTGACTCCTGGTGTTCACATACCTCAGGGTCTAATTTTATGATAGTCAACACCACTCTAATGAACATATGTGGCTTTGGTGGGCACCACCTTTGGGTATAAACAGAATTCCTGACATGCACTTTTGCTGATCCACCTTCCTCCTGCATTGCTCACCCTGGAATCTATGGCCTGGGTTTCCTGGTAGAAGGCTAAAGCTAAAGGTTGCAGATTCCCAATAAGCTTTAACACTCATAACTTGCCCAGAGTTACACAACTAATGAATGGGCAGAGTGAACTCCAGCCAATCTCTAACTAGAAACTCCCTGCTTATTGACTGTCTCAGTTATTTTTCTCATTGCTGAGACAATATACCCTCATGCAAAGTTAAAGGAGGAACGGTTTATTTGGCTCACAGTTTGTAGAAGTTTCAGTTTATAGTTGGCTGGTTCCAAGGCAGGGTGGCATGGCAGAGAGGCATCGCAGAGGAGAAACAGTTCATGGTGGGCAGAAGGCAGCAAAGCAAAAAAGTAGCAAAGTAACAGCCAAGTAGCAAGTGATAGCAGCAGCCCTTTCTGTCCCTTATATTCTATCCAGGCTACATGCCCTTAGGGAGGGTAGCACTCACACCCAGGGTGCTCCTTCTCATTATTCACTCCCAGAACTGTGCCAAACCAATTAGTGGACTAGTTTAGTAATCACACATCCTTAATCCCAACATCACACACTCAAAATCCCAGCATCACACACTCTAGATCCAGCCACCTCTGAAAAGCTCCTCCTCTGACTACATGAGGCTTTGAGGAGACATCTAGACCCAAGTCATACAATGACTGAGATGTGTAGGGCCCCCTTTTTCACTAGAGCCCAATGAGGAAGTGTGAGTATGTGTGCATGTGCACGTCTCTGCATGCACACGTGAGAGTGAGTGAGTGAGTGTGTGGTGGTAGTGGTGGATGAAAATTGAATTTTTACATCTCTGTGACCTCTGTTAGACAAAGAGACTGCAGAGGGCAGATAAGCTCACCCAGAAAAATCTTTACTGATGATACAACTGAGGCCCAGAGAAGACAAGGACCTGCCACAGTTTGCACTGCAGATGGCTAGCAAGCTGTAATGATGGGCCAGAGCCTGGTTTTTCTGCACAGAGGCCATTGCTCTCTCGGTCTGCCCTGTCCTCCCTGAGCCTTTCCTCCTCAGCTGGCTCTCACATTCTCAAGAAGGAATCTTGCATACCCTTCCCACATCCCCACCTTTCCATGTTCCATGCTGCAGGGCTGGTCCCAGGGACCAGAGTGGGAGTGATGGGCTGGAGTTCAGGCTTGGACTTGGTTGTAATGGGCTATGTCATGAGCCATGGCTGGCCTTAGGCTATTCAGCCTCTCTGCCTCTTTTCCTGGGTGGGTGGGTGGGGTACTTGCTACTCCTGCATTGCTTGTGGCATAGTCCTGGAGCTATCCTTCAAGATGCCTGTGTTCTTCACGACAGGCCACGTGAGGGACAGCCTGACTGGGGATTTTGAATCCCAGGAGTGACCACCCCAGGTCATTCATCACAGTGGTGGCAACCTGGCTGAGAATAGAAGCCTTTCTCTATCTGGGGCCCTCTGAGCTGCTTTGGCTTTTGCTGAACTCAATCTTCCAGCTTTCCCTTCACTTTTCTGGCCTTCCTGACATCTCTCCAATAGATTAAGTTCACTCAAGTCAGTGTTTAGGGCATGCAGCCAAAGCTTTTTGTGATGAAGCCAGAAACCCAAGCAGATAATGGGAAAGAAAATATTTCCCAGAGCCTTCCTCAAAGTGATACAATGCACTGTTACTGAGCACTGAAGCCATGCTAGCTCCTGTGCTAGACACTGGAACTCCAGGGAGGCAATAGTCTCCTTTGTGGCCTGGAGGAGCTCACAGCTTATGGGAAACAAAAGAGACAGTGGAGGGACAAGGACCAATGCCCAGCTGTTGGAGCCAGAGCTTTGCTGTGCTTGTGGTTTCCCATGCCATAAAACCTCCTAACTGCTAATCCAACTGGCACCAGAAGGCTTTGCTCGTGTTTCCTCTCATTTCCCTCACAAATAAAATCAGTAAGGTGCTCAGGATGTCTTTTGGTGTTGTTGTTGTTGTTGTTATTTTCTTTCAGAATATCTTTAATAGAGACTAAGAGCTTTTTATAACTTGTTTTTGGGGTTGGCATTTTTAACGTTTCCTCCTAAGCTCAAGTTAGGTTAATGTGGCCTCATTTGGAAATCAGATAGTAGACTGAGACAATTGATTAATGATGAATTAACCAGTAACCTGTGTCTGGGAGATTACCATTTCCAGAGAGCCTTCAAGGGCATCAATAATAATCACGCACGTTGGAGGTTCCTGAATCAGAGAGGGGAAAGAATTTCTCTTAAGTTCATGGAGCCTGGATGGAAATGATAGAAAAGGGGTTTGATCTTGGACCCACCAGGATCCTTAGTCCTGGTTTCCTTCTGTTTAAACAAGTAATGTAAGCTTCAGGAGGATGGAGCTGGGTGAAGATTTCTGCAGGGTTTAGGAGAAGGCGCTTACTTATAGGTGCTGGCTGGGTGGACATTCACGGTCCTACACTGCCCCCTGCTGGACTCTCCAATCCTGGACTCCTGGGGTGTTAGATGGGTAAACTGGGAGTTTCAGCTTGGTTCCTGTCAATAGGTGGATTGAAGACCTTCCTGCTAGAGCAACCTCTGCTTTTGGACAGCTAATGTCTCAGTTTGCTGGAGCATATAATAGATGTTCATGTGTTCGCTTACTTGTGGGAAAGCGTTCATTCATTAATTCATTTACTATACCTCCAGAGAGAATGGCACTCTTGAGGTTGAAATGCCGATGACTTGGCATGGCCTTGCCCCCAGACTCATAGGAGGGTCAGAATCACAAGAGATGCTCACAATTCAGGGAGATTAACATACCTGCAGCCAAGTGCAGGGGATCATGGGAGCCCTGACCCAGGCAGGAGTAAATAGTTCTACAGTTTGGATAAGGAATGTATGCCCAAAGCCTGTGTGTTACAGATTTAGTCACCAGCCAGTGGTTCCATTGGAAGGTGGTGACACCTTTAAGAGGTGGGGTCTAGTGAAACATTTTATGTCATTGTAGGTGTGTCCTTGAGGGGGACGGTGGGACCTGGTCTATTCCTGTCTCTCTTGCTGTTCCCAGCCGTGAGGTGAGCAGCTGTGCTCCACCATGTCCTCCCACCAGATTGTGCTGCCTTGCCACAGGCCCAAGAGCAACAAGGCCAATCAAGCATGACTGGAAATTCCAAAACTGTGAGCCAAAGTGAAGCTTTGCTCTTTATAAATTGATGTAGCTCAGGTATTTGTTACAGTAATGAACAACTGACTAACACAAGTAGGGAGTGGAGGAAGGAGGCCCAAAGAAGGCAAGAGGTGGAGAGAGTCTTGGAGGAGCATGGGGATAGATGGGGACCAAAGGGAGAAGCAAATATGCTGTAAAGCTAGTGGCCCCAAAGCTCGGGGAGCCCACTAACCAGGGTTCTAGATTTTGGGTCACTTTCACCATGTCTTCTTTTTCTTTAAGGGATACACCCCAAATTGTGTAAGGCTTGGGGGCTCCACCAAGCCTAGCTCTGCCCCTGGCTAGAGGAGGAGAAAAGGCAGGGTGTATGAGCACATAGAGCAGGCAGAGCCACCAGGAAGGGCAGAGTGGCTGCAGCCCTGGAGACCCTGGGGGAAGCAGCATGGAATAAAGGAGCTCTACATGATGAATTAACTGATAACAAACCTGTGTTTCTTTCTATAGAACAAGAAGCTTCCCTTGTGGGACTCTGAGACTCAAGCAAGAGAGCTCCTATTATGGTTCTGTGTTTTAGAAGGCTCAGACCAGGCCATCTAGCTCATGAGCAATGACTCCATGAGACCAGAGTATGTGCCCATTAGAACCTACCCACCCTCTTCTGGGTCCCATTGTGAGGAACTTGGCTATTCCTTGGCTAAGCAGTCCTAAGCCAGATTCCAGGCTGCGCACTGTCCTTTCCCCAGCCCAGCCTCCTGAAGGTGGACCATGCTGAGGGTGGACAGCTCAAGGAGGCTATTGGTTATGGTTTCCTGGGAGGTAGTAGAAAGCTGGAGCTGTTGTCAGGCAGAGGAGAGCAGCTACCTCTTGGGCCTCCCCCAGTTTATCCTCATTCTTTCCAGCTATATATAAGCACCTGCCGTATGCTGTCCACAGGCTGGGCTCACCCACAGCCAGGACAGGCTGGTGTCCTGGGGCAGATGGGCCAGGCAGGCCTGAGTGCCACAGGTAGCAAGTGCTAGGAATGGGCCAGTCCTTCAGGTCAGGTGTGAAATTTACAGGCTAGGGAGGCATGGAGAAGTATTCTGAGAAGGATGATGGCACAGCAAGGCAGGCAGGGAGACACAGTGCTAGGGGCACACGAGGAGGGGGAAGAGAGAGGGCCAAGACTTGCATGCTATGACTGAGGAACCCACTGCTTATAATTCTTGGTTCTTGGTGGTACAGAGGTGGACCAGGTGGTTTTAGTGTCTAGGGCTGGGGCAGAAGCCCAAAGGGAGAAGCCACCCTCAGGGCCAGCCTTCTGGGATAGGAAAGGCATCAGGCTCATCTATAGCAGTCTGGTCTCTGGGCCCAAGGCTAAACCTCCTATTCCCTGAAGAATGGGATTCTCACTCTGTCTGCAACCCCCCAGTAGGCAGCAGGAGACTCCTGGAAGGCAGGGAGAG